CAGACGCTAGGCGAGATGAAATACTACCACCACCGCACGGTCGACGAAGGCAACACAGACAGAGTCGAGTTACTGAGCAGGCAGACTGGTGTGTTTAGGGTGTCGTGCTTGGATTGCTTGGACAGAACCAACGTCGTACAGTCCGCTTTTGCTCGACATGTGCTGACGGGTCAGCTCGCCAAGCTCGGCATCAAGGTCGGATCCGCGGCGGCTCCCACCGGTGCCCCTATCTCATGAGGTTCACCATCATCTTAGTATCCTCCTTTCCCTCCGCACGTTCTTCTATGGCTCATTAGTCTCTTATCTTCCCGTTCTAGCTTTACTGATTGCAATGCGTCACCTCAGATACCCAATCAACCCTTTTTTTCCCCTTTCATGAGGTCAGATCTTGTGATTTGTTTCCTTAACTTTGGTGGCAAGGCTGTGTCGAAGAGATCCCAAAGTCAACCACTGCAAGGCACATGGGCACCAACTGTAACTTGACTGAACCTAGCTGTGGAGCTGACATCGTCATCAATTACACAGGCCGAGCTCTCCTCACCATGTCAAAGGGTATGGTGAGTGGCAACGGCCAACCAGTCGATCGTCACAGTTGCCAAGTCATGTGAGCAGATCAATCTTGTCGGCCAGTTGGGCAAGCAGATTGTGCTTTGAACGGTGAAAGGCAAACGAGGCTACAAACTGGGAATCATGTATTGGAGGCATCGCACAGTGGTATCTATTTACAAGCGGGCTTGGTGGCCAGCATCCTCGGAGCGGAGGTGGAGTGGTTCGACAGCGCCAATGTCGCGGGCGACGTTGCGAGCGACACCACGGGCGGTGGCCATAGTGGTGATCATGGGGTTGACACCGCTGGACTCGGGCATGGCGGAAGCATCGGCGACCCACAAATTCTTTGCTCCCCAAACACGTCCCTCAGGATCGAGAGCCGAGATCTTAGGATTGGCTCCCATGCGGCACGAGGCCATCTGGTGCGCCGAACCGATGGAAAGAGTGTAAGGTGCAGCGCCAGTGGTAAGGATCTTCTTCTGCCATTCCTTGTAGGCAGGGTCGTTGAGATCACGAGGCACTGTCTCGACCGGGGTCCATGTGGCTGGCACCTGGGTGGTCTCGGTATAGATGTTGTCAGCAGGAGGCGACGGAGCAGCAGGAGCGCCCGAGGTTGGCGCCTTGGTAGCACTAAGCGAGCTGGCAACGAAAGGAGGAACACCGGTCTGCACGGTTGTGATGGTCTCAGCACCGGCCATAAGGTGCGCGTCCGCTCCACGGAGGATACCCTGGAGCAACGTGCGCTGGTCGAAGGGCGAGATGGTGTACTCGACACGCGCTTGTCCCTTTTCGTCAAGAACGATGCGACCGCTGTCACGGTCACGGCAGATGATGACCATGGTATAGCTGTGGCTGTAGCGAAGCATGCGTGCCTTGTGTTCCTTGGCGCTCGAGAAGTTGGCGAAGGCGGCGTGGATCGATGGCGACGAGGCAATCACCTCGATCTTGCATCCCCAGCCGTCCTTGTCGACCATCTCGGCAGAATTGTCCACCATGGTCAGCAATCCACCCTCCCAAGGTTTGATGGGGAAGTTGTAGTATCCGGTTACAACGGTGGCGGGGTGGAGACGAAGCGTCTGGCCAATCATCTTGTTGGCCTTGAGCTCGGGCGAACGGAGGAGCAAGGCAGGCGTCTGGAGCGAACCAGACGAGACCACAACACCCTTGGCAGCGAGGATCTTGACTTTGCGTCCGTCCACGATTGCGAGAGCACCAATGGCGCGCTTCTTGTTGTCGAAGAGGATACGCTCGACGTAGCAGTTGGTCATGAAGGCGGCACCAGCTTCGGCGGCGTCCTTGAGCCATGAGACGACACCACCCTGTTTGTGTCCGGAAATACAGCCAAGCTGGCACTTTCCACAATAGTGGGTGTGTCCTCCGCTGTTCTGTGGAACAGGCTCAACGGGATGACCGGCACGCTGTGCTCCAAGGGCAAGAAGCGAGTTGCCGACGTTGTGGCGAATGGGAGCAACAGCCACGCCCATGCGGGTGCAGACGGCATTGAGGTCCGAGGTGAAGAACGGGCTGTTGTAGTAAGGCACTCCAAACTTTTCGGCCCAGGTTCTACGCACAAAGTGGCGAGGCTTGAGCGAGGCAGACCAGTTGATGGACGAGCCTCCACCGAAAGTGGAACCAGCAAGAATGTTGATCGAGCCATCCTCGGAGGGCATGATGCCTTCGCCTTCGTAAAGCAGGCCGTAACCCTGGTCCTCGCGACCAACCACTTTATCAGGGTGAAGGTAGATACCCTTGTCGACGATCAGGGTACGCACGCCTCGCTGAGCGAGGTAGCTTCCGGCGACACCGCCACCGGATCCAGAGCCAATGACAAGCACTTCGGTGTCGACAATAATCTCAGAGCCAGAGGGCTGAGCGGCGATCTTTTCGTTTTCGAACTTGTAATCATAGACGGGAATGGCAGGCTTTGCCTCACCGCCCTGTGCAGGGCGGGTCCAGTCGTCAGGTCGACCATCTGGGTATCCGATGGCCTCCCAAGCAGGCTGGTGGTTACGGTAGTAAACGAGAAGGGTGATACCTTTGAGACCGGCAGATGCCTTGCGGAAAAGGGTGAGGCGAGAGGTGAACCAGCCAAAGATGATCTTCTCTCGGGTGGCGCGGTCGAGCTGGGCAAAAGGACCGACGTATCCGGTGAGAGCCAAAGTTCCAGGACGGGTGGAGAGGAGGGTGAGGAAGAAGTTGATGTCACCAGCGACCTTGGACGAGAGGGAAGCTTTGACCTGCTGAGCGGCGCAGTCGAGCAGACGAGGCGTCGACTTGAAGCCGTCTTTGGCGAAACGAGGGGCGAGTTCTCGCTGGCGGTCGGTGGCTTCTGCTGGCAGGTGAGAAAGGACGTCTGCAGCCTCAGCGCCGTCGAGTTCGGGAACGATAGCGTCGGCAAAGGCGAGAAAGGCTTCTCGCTGAGCAGCGGTCCAGTAATCCTCTGCCTTGACGACCTTGGGCATAGGAATGGTCCCAGTTGTTGCGACCGACATGATGCCGTGGATGTCTAATGACTGTGGATGTCGATGATGCGATGATGCTGTGCAGGGGAGGTGAGATCGGGAAGACGTGGTAGGAAGGTGAGGATGTATGTAGGGAGATAAAGGTGAATGTAGGTGAGGGAGGAAGGTTGCAGGGATGGTTTTGATCGCTCTGTAGTAATGGCGCAAGGATGTAGAAGCGGATCCCGCGAGAGGGAGCAGCAGGGAAGCATTTACGAATCAGCCCCAGGCTGCGCATCAAGGACGCGGGGAAGGTGAATCTGTGCAGAAGCGAAGGAAGGGAAGGAAGGGCGGTAACCTGAAGCTGTCGCATCGCAGGACCGTGCGGGCGAGCAGCACTTTGAACGCAAGAGGGCTTGTCGGAGTCTGTCACACAGCGTTGCGGCTGGAAAAAGTGCGGGGGAATCTTGGACGCGGAATCGTTTCCCAGCATTGTAGAGAGGTTGCATACGACACACAGTCTTGCATCTGGGACTACCTACAAATTCGTCCGAACTTGCTGTTACACAAGTGAAGTTGTGAGAAGCCCGTGATGAAAACTCCATCATATGACAGCACCAGGAGAGGGAGGAGATTAGCCACACCGGACGCCATATGAATGCACGGGGGGTTGACAGCGAGGTACATTAGGAAAGTGTGCACTCGCAGGGCAGACGTTGCGGCGTAAGAAGAAAGGAAGGCTTGTCGCTTGAACTCCTGCTTGTTGTTAATGAATGGTCAAAGAGCCTCACGTAATACATTTTTGTGGCGGCAGCAGAAGGCGGAGTCAGCGGCTGCTGAAGTTGCGGTGTCTCATGAGGCGTACGTTCAAGCATAGAGATGTCGTTGGATTGCAGTCACAAAATTGAGCACCGAGAGCCCTTTCAACCGCTTTTTCGCGCAGGACTAGCACACAGAGGCTCATGCTTAATCCGCTTGGGCGGTAACCTGTAGATCCCGGCTCAGGTGTCGTTGCCATGTTGACCAGACAGATTGATTAGACTCTGTCTGACATCTGCTCAGAGTTGCACAACCTCGGCGCCTGGAGCCACACCTTTGCTGCCAAAGACCGTTTCGACGCCTCAGGTAACTCCTCAACCTTGACCGTTGAAGGGGTACAATCAACAAGAATGTCAAGCGACGATGGTTGCACTGTTGGTGTACAACCGTGTCCGTGTGATGCACAAGAGAGTCATCAGTGGGCAGGATTGGATGTCCAAAAAAAAAAAAAAAAAAGGAAAAAAAGCGTTAGACTGCGAGCGCGTGAATCCGCTGCCTGCCCCAAGATTTGTACACACCCGCGGCTCTCGCTCTTACGCTCTCGACAAACAGGTAGTGGCTCCTGTATTCGGTCGCCACGGTTTCCTGTCTTCCTGAGACCCGCAAGCGCATTCCGTGCTTGTCGGTTCCTAAGCGAAGCCGTTCCGATCAACAAAACGCTGTTGGACGCAAACACAGTCGCCTGATTGGCAACTGGATGCCAAAAATAAGAGAGTAAAGATGCCGGAGCCAAACATCAAAAAAAAGTTAGGTCGTACTGGGATTCGAACCCAGGGCAAGAGAAGTCGAATCGTATTGATGAGCTTGCCGCCCGAACAATCAGAATCTCCTAAGTTAACCAACTACTCCATACAACCTCGGATGCTGCCTGCAGCGGAAGAGTGTGTATATAAGGCACCTGACTATCACAAGCCAAAGCGCTGGCAGATGTAAGCGTTTTGAGTCATTCATTATTAGAACACATTTCGTTACCAACGTTACTGACCATCAGCTGGATATTTCTCTCCTTGTCCTGGTCCAGTGAGCGTTTTCTGCCGAAGCCTTATATTGGGGCATTGGCATGGGATACTTTGTTTTGGCACCTTTGTCCGGCAAAACCAAATTGATTACTTCCGTTTCTTAGGATATTTATATCTTTTTTATGCCCGCAAAATGATGGCAGAAAAGTCCACCAAATTCGATCCAAAAAAGAGGTCGTACTGGGATTCGAACCCAGGGCAAGAGAAGTCGAATCGAATCACTGAACTCGGGAGAGCTCGTCAGATCAGAATCTCCTAAGTTAACCAACTACTCCATACAACCTTGCTTGTCGAGGTGCTATAGCATTGCTGATATATCCTGCCAGGAAAAACCATGAGACCTGAAACTGCAAATTTGAAACGATTCTCATACACGACAAGGTCACACGCACCTGGACAAAGCGAAAGACTCGATTCAGAATAGCTGATCCACGTCTTTGAGGAATGCTTCGAGGTCGAACGGGATGCAGGCATCATAGAAGCTGGCGTCTACCTGTCCAGCGGAGCCGGAAGTAGGCGTATCAGAGGCCGTTAAGGTAGGATCAAGATGTTCCAGTCCTTGCGCATCCCATGGCAATGCCTGTGCACCCACAGAAAGCGCTATGCCTGGAAGGGAGGCGGACGCAGATTCCAGCAGGTCTGTTGCAGTCGATGTCGCGGATGCGGCGACCATATTGGAGCTGGCTTTCCCTCCAACTAGCGCCTTTTCCTGCGCAGCCTCGGCAGCAGAAGCCAGAAAGTCCATCGCAGTTGCACGAAGTTGCACGGGCGATTGGCCACTTGTCCGGTTGTTGCTCGATCCTCTTCCCGAATGGGACGATGCCGCCCCTTGAGCATCATCCATGGAAAGATTCGAGACAGGTCTGTAGACTCGATAGTAAAGCTGCCAAAGTTGGGCCGTGCCAATCATTTCCTCAATGTATTTGGCTGCGACCTGCGCAATGCTAAGAGCGCCTTCGCTGTTGCATTCTGGATGCAATTCTCGCACCCGCACTGTCACGGCTTCCATCAGAGTCAAAGCCATGTGAGTATCGGAGGACGTGCGTCCCCACGCCACTAGCACGAATGCTATGCTTTCCAGACAGCTTCTTGCTGCATCCACCGTCATGGCACTGACCAGGAGCGTTGGCAGCCGTCGCAGATATCGCGGTGACGTTTGCGAAGGGCAGCTGCGTTTCCACAATACAGGCTGCCGATCGAGCTGTGTCACGCTAGCGAGCAAGGTACGTGTCATCTCCATGCTAAACTTGCCAATCGCCCCTAAACGTTCTCCAGGGCCCAATCGAAAGCGAATGCAGCGTACCAGCTCATTGACCTCGATCGACCCATCCAATTTGTTCGTAAACATTGCCGAGGTGCAATAGTTGCTGAAGAGGGCACAGATAAAGGCACACTCGATATGAATGAACTGCTCCCACAACCGGACAAGGCGTTGTCCAGCGTATGCGGCTGAATCATCAGCGCAGAGACACAAATTTTGTCAGTACTTACCCATGCTACACATTGCCAAGAACAGAAAGGAGACTCACCTAGACGCTCATCAGTACCCTCTCTTGTCAGCAAAATACCTCCTGTAGCGGTGGCATGGATGTCTGTGATTCGCTCAGCCTTCTCTTCGAGCGACAGACTTTCGCTGGACAGTGTCTGCTGTACATCTCGCAGGGAGCTGAACAAATGACATGCCGTCTCTATGCGCAGATAAACCAGAGTTCGACCCGCTGAACGCAAAATACCATCTTTCCCATGTCGCTTCTCCATCTCCGCGCAAAAATCACGCATCTGGCGGTGTGAAGCGGCAGTCGGGCCGTCGGTGTCCTGGAGCCGAGGCGCTGGTGGGAACGGTCTCCCTTCATCATCGACGTTGTCCAAGATGCTTCTTACATCTACTGCGTGCTGGGCGTTCAAGCTGTCCAATTTCGGTCTCCCTCTACCAAAGAAAGCATATAGTGCTTCCCAACTCTCTAGGCAGCACCAGAGGCTGAAGTGCATCAACCGGGACGCCGAATGCTTTGGGGAAGCGACAAGTTTGTCGATCCCTAGCTCCTTGGCAATCTTGATCGCGCAGGTGAGAAGATTTTCCGAGGCCAGACCAAATCCCCTTCCTTCCGGCTCAAACTGCGAAGCGGCCGTACCAACAAGGCCAGGCTCATGAGCCAGCAGAAGCTCAAATGCCATGATGAGGTGAATGTCGCGTGGCGACGATAGAAGCATCTGAGTACCGAGACGGTCGACGTAGCTGGACAGGTTTCGGACGTCGGCTGAAGAGAGTTCGTCGTCGATCTCTTTGAGCCCGAGCAACGTCATCGTGGCCAGGAGTAGAGATCTGGGACGGGTCGAGCTTTGTGTCTGCTGTCGATGCAAGCCCGCCAGCGAGGGTAGATAAGGGTGGCCTACGAGGTAGTCACTGAGCTGCAGGTCCAGCTGCTTCATTCTTTCGGGGGCCAGAAAGGTGACGATGTCTGGAGTGGAGGGAGGGGCGTCGATGCGCAGCTTGAGGTAGTTACTATACTTGGGCTCGCGCTGTAGACGTTCTACAAGCGTGTTGAGCGTTCTAGTCATGGTCTTCCATCCCTTTTGCCGACTAATGAGAAGATTCTGAGCACGACTGAGATCTGACGCAGCCAGCTGTTCACCGTCTGCATTCTGCGAGGGCAAGGGCAGCCCACGAACCTGATTGCTGTCGTTGAATGAAGTGGAGGCAGCCTTGGGTTTGGAGGTCGCATCCTCTTGGATGCGCAATGGTTGGCTGGTCCGTCTGCTCGACGATGCTACTGCCTCACCTACGTTGGATGGAGGAACCCAGTCTCGTTCTACAGAGCCAGTGGGAGTCGAGTCGTCGCGACGATCAAGTTTGGGTTTTCGTTTGCGGTCGCCATCCCAGACAATGCAATCGATCCCGAGGACGTTGCACCGATGACACTGCTTGTCAATAGGGAGCGGTATCCTGGAGCTGTCGACGTAAACGTCTGGAAGCTCACAACGTGCTTTCTTTTCGCGACATTTGAGGCAGCTTCTTCTAGCCAAAGGGCGCTTCCTCGGGACCGTTGAAGGTCGAGCGTCATCTTTGTGATCTGGACCCATCCGCAGGATGTCGGAAGCCTGACTTGTTCTTTTTTGCGCGCGGGTCGGAAGGTGGAGATGGTGACGTTACAGGCGAGTCGTGAGCCCTCAATGGGGCTGAAGCCGAAGTCCAAAAGAAAGCTTCAAGATAGAGAACCAACACGGTGGATGTCAAAGAAGCTTCAACAGCTCCGGTTGGCACGTGTTTTGCAAAGTCCGGTGGACCTGTCAAAATTCGATCAGACAACTCCGGCGGAGATGGCGCCTTTCAAAAGAAAAACCCTGCCGAGATGCCCGGCAACACTAGAGCCACACAGCCCCCGAACGAGCGAGTTCCGCTGCAACGAGACAAGTCCGCCGGACCATCATGGTAAAACTTCTATGTCGAATGGAACCATGCAACGCCATCCACAGCAGTTCACTTTCCTTGCACTGTTGCGTTTGTGGATGAGGAAGAGCCACGACGGCTCGGCAATGCGACCAGGACAAGCACGAAAGACTGGTACACTTAGATGTATAAAGGGAATGATGTCTGATTGAGTTTTGCTTGCAACCCCATCCTTCTATCTGCGTTTACCATTCTGGCATTTCCTCAGAGCGGCAAGACGCGATCCCAAACATGCTGAATCAACTCGCCTCGATCCTTTTAATCGCCGCCGCAGGAGCTGCAGCCCAGTCGACCTCGATCAATGGTGCAACCACTCAGGCAAGCCAAACCGCTACCGTTCTGGCTGCTAGCCAAACTCCCATGGGCATTCTCAAGTATGAGCCCAGCACGGGCGGCAACTACTTTATCGGCGGCCTGTACGCTCTGTACAGCATGATCATCTTCTTCTACGTCTTCCGACGCAAAGATCGTTGGGCATTATGCTTGCCCATCGGTTGCCTCTGTTCTGCGGTCGGCTACTTTGTACGCCCCTCGATCGACCCTTACAACGTCAGCCTTGGCCTTTACATTGTGCAGAGCATGTTTGTCGTCATCTCACCCGCAGCTTTCCTCGCTTTCAACTACCTCTTGTACGGACGCATGATCCTGGCGGTCGACAAGGACTTTGGCAGCTCCAATTTTGACATGCAGTCGCTGGAAAGCCAGCCGCTGTCATCGGCAGAAAAGATCACGATGCTCCACAAGGCAGGAGGACCCAAGCGGGAGAAGTCGCGCTTCTCTTTCATCCCCCCGCGCATCGTTGGACGTGTGTTTGTTTGGAGCGACGTGACCACATTTATCATTCAATGTGCAGCTGGAGGTCTTCAGGCTAGCGGTGGAGCCGACGACCCGAGTCTCGTCAACGTTGGCGACAAGATGTTCCTGATCGGTGTCATTCTGCAAGGTGTCTCGTACATTCTCTTCACGCTGCTGGTGACCTACGCTACGATTCTGGTGGTTCGAGATGGTGCACGCGGCGGCCAAAGTCAATCGCACGAGCGCAAGATCATGGGAATGGAAGTGGCCGTGTTTTCGCTGGTAGCCGGACTTTACTTTTCGTCGATCTTTGTGATTGTAAGTGCTGGACGGAATAGTCGAAACTGACCACGAGAGAGACATATCGCTGACCATTTCTTTCTTACTCTGCTTTGCCATCACAGATCAGGTCAGTGTATCGAATCATCGAGTTCTCGCAAGGTTACTCTGGCTACTTGGTCTCTCACGAAAGTAAGTGCTGGCGAGGCTTTGATTGTGGTTTCAGAGGATCCGGTTGTATGTACATCTAGCTGACACGTTCACCTTTGCTTGCTTACAGTCTATCTGTTCGTGCTGGACGCAGCACCATTGCTACTTGCTGTCGGAGTCTGGGTGGTCATGTGGCCGTCTGGACTTCTTGAAAAGATCTTTGAGAGGAGATTCTCGAACGAGGGAGACTACTCTCTTTCAAAGACGTCTTTTTAGACAAAGGGTTGTTATAGAGTCGCGTGCAATAGAGCTCATCTGTCCAAGTTAGCGAAGATTGATGGTCAAGAGGCTGTGTTCGAGTCTACTGAGATTGTGAGACGGTCCTACGGTTGTGCAAATCATCGGCTGAGTATCAGAATTGGAATGCAAATGGATGGTATTCGGGAGTCCTAGTGTTACAATTGGTGAGAGAAGGAGGCCTGTACGATGCGGTGGGAGGGATGAAAGGAGGCGAAGTCGCAGAGGCCGGAACCTCCTTGACGAATGTGCCAAGTGAGCCGATCACCCCATTTGGGCAAACTCGCCGACGCGCTGAAAGTCAGGCCTCTCTT